GCCGGCATGATGTATGCCCCACCTCCCCCTCCTCCGCCTCCCATGGACCCTTCTAACTTTGTCACCATGATGGGCATGGGGGTGGCAGGCATGCCGCCCTTCGGGATGCCTCCAGCTCCCCCACCGCCTCCACCACAGAACTAGACTCGGTTTTTTAAGAAAATATATATTATATATAGAAAGAATTGGTCTTGTTTAAACACACGCCGAACCTCACCATATGGAGCCAGACATTGGGACGCACGCATGTGATTGTGTGCACGCATGTGTGTGTGTGCACGCACCGGGCTGGGCCAAGCGACTGAGGACGGGCAGGTGGTAGTAGGGGCGCCAGCTTGGGCTTTTCCTGGCGCCCCGTAGCATCGAGTGTCTTCTTTGTCTTCTTTCTCTCCTCACCCAAATCCCTTTGCCTCTCCCCAAACCGGGCCGCCAGGATCCCTCCCCGCAGCGGCGATGGCCCGAGCCATGAGAGTGAGGACTTTCCGCGCCCATTGGTGACCCTTCCAGGCAGACAGCCTCAGCAGCGCCCCTGGTGGACAGGATGGTTCGGCAAAGCAGCCTGAGTTATTTTTGTGGACGGAATCGGAACACGCTGGCTCCATATTGTGAAATTTTTATTAATTTTTTTCTTTTTCCTTTGTTATTTCCTTATCTCTTCCTTCCTTCAGACTCCGTCCAAGGAGATGCTCTCCCCGGTCTTCTGCTGCAATCAGATTACTTTGCCTTTTCTCCATTCCTCATTCTTCTCTTTCCAAGGAGAGAGGAGCAAATGGTTTTAGGCCAAGGCCTTGGCCACTAATGTCAGGCTAGTTTGGACAGGGGTGTTCCTTTGGTTCTAAGATTTCCAAGGTGCCATCGCCACCCCAAGATTATTATTTTTTTTAAGTGTGGAATTTTGTGTCTCCTACCCTCATAGAGTAGTGGCTTAACCTCCAGCTCCGGGATTCATGTCCATCCTGACACCCTGCCAGCAGTAGGTGTGGCTGCCCACGCCACCTTGGGTTTGTCTGCCAGACCAGGTCGTTTCCATGTTCCTGAGCACCTCAGCTGCCTCATATTCCATTTGTTCCTCTCCTTCCTGGAAGGCTTCCTTTTAAATTTTCTTTTAATTCCAAATGTCTGGATGTTTTGCAGTGTCTAGGGTGTTGAGCCCCTTGTTTTTTTCATTCTGCTCCCCCACCCCATCCCTTTTCATGGAGTGATTATGTTGACAATAATGTATAACGCGCGTTCTCTTCACTGGTTTATCTGCAGAAATTTCTCTGGGCTTTTTTTTTTTCCAGTGTATGATTCAACACTGCGTTAAAGGGGGATGTTCCATTGAATAAAAGAGCAGTGTGGTTTTCTGGGTCTGTTTCTTTATTTTCTCTTAAGCCCTCTCCCCCCATTATCAGTAGCACTAGTTACCTGTTCCCACAGGTAGCACCTGGCCCCTGGGGAACCTGTGGGACATTGGCTAAGGAAGCCTCCCGCCCGTCTGCCTGCGTGGGTTTGCTGGTGGAAGCGGAGTATGTGGGGAGCCCCACACCCTCCCCCTGTGTATAGTTTATAGCTGAGAAACCACACTCTCCCCTCCTTGGTGACCCCTCATCCCCCTGTTCCATGTCCTTTTGAAGACATTTCCCTGGGGCTCGAACCCCCCACATTTGCAGAGCTCCAGTTGTGATTTGTGCCTGAAAGCTGCCACCTGACTACGGCCCTGGACCTAGGAGGCATCAGTACTAAAGGTCAAGCCAACTAATCCTGCCTGTCAGGCACAGAGCAGCTAAAATTAAAATTGCCAAGTGGCTTTTCTTGCTCTGCTGGTGACTAGCAGCCTGCCAGCACTGCAGGCTTTGGGGAGTGGAGGGGGCAAGAGAATGTGCCCACCTTGTGCTTCGTAAGCACTTCTTTGCAAAGGGTCTTAGCCTGCTCTTTTCTTTCATGTCTGGACAGTACCATTGTGGCACTGGAACAATCCATGTCCGGTCTCCGTGAGGTAGTGAGGTCCCATCCCTGCACTGCCCCTGGGAGAGCTGTGTTAGAGCTGGCCCTTCCCGGGCTGGCTTCCCTTCAGAGAGGCTAGGGGACAACAAGCTCCTGCCACTCCCAGCGTCTGACCAGTGGGGACAACGCCGCCTGGGCTGTATTCCAGCTTCACCCGGGAGCCGGCCACTGCTGTTGATCTGGAGCAAAGCCTGGGTGTCTGTCCTTTGCTGTAGGCTCCGGGGCTTAAGGAAGCTTCAGAAAGTTCAGGAGGTCCCCCAAACCTTGGTTGACTGAAAGGAGATGGGGGAAATCTGTCCTTAACTGAGGGAATGGAGGCGGCCCGGGCCTGGCTACCCTCTTTGACCTTGGCTACACCTCACTGCTTCCCCCACAAGCTCGGTTTCCCTGGTGGGCTCATTGGGCGGTTAATTAGCTCTTTGAAGCTCTGAAAGAGGCAAAGTGGCGCTATGTGGGTTTTAGAAATAAAATCAATAAACGACTTAACCACAGCCCAGCTATCTCCTCTGTCTCCCCTGGGGCCAGCTCCATCCTGTGCTCCTCCTCCTCTGCTCCCTGCCCCTCGGCTTTTGTTAAGGTTTGGAGAGTAACAAAGTGGCTGACGAAGGCATCCGTCCTGGGCCTTTCTCCAAGCAGCTCTAGACCCTGAAATGGAAGAGAGACAACGGGAAGGCTTGGCCTTCAGAATGGCAGCGAGCCACCTGCCTTTGGCTGGATGGGAGGGATATGCACTGCTCCCCTTCCCCTCCCTCCCGGAGACATCCTAGGTGGGAAAGGCCTTCTGTGTGGCCCTATCGTTCCAGAGGACCAGCCAGCCCTTGTTCCTCTCTGTGCGCATCTCCCCACCCTCCCAAAGCTTGGTGGGTGAAAGGAATGCCAGCTGGGAAAGGTGAGTGTTCGGGCTCCGTTACTGAGCCCGCCAGTGCTCTGGAGAAAGCCAAGATTGGTCCAGGGAAGAAGGCAGGGTTTCTGATGAGAAACCTAGTCAGACATAACCTTGAATCAGTTCGGGTTGGAAAACATGCTTTCAGGATTCTTTAAAATAAATGCACACGCGACACCAGGGAGAGAGTGAACAGGGAGAAGGAACACAGTGAAATGAGAAGCAGGGCCGCTTGAGCCTGGGTTTCATGCTGCTGGGTTGGGGCATCAAAGGAAAAAAGCTTGGGAACTGAGTTGGAGGCCGCTGACAAAGACTGGAAACCCCCACAAGAAAGGCAGTTAAATGAGAAGGACATTTGTTACCCAGCCGCTGTGGCTCATGTTCCAGGAGGTCACAGGGCACGTGCCTGGGTTGTAGGCTCAGTTCCCGGTACGGGGCGTGCAGGAGGCAGCCCATCAATGTTTCTCATCAGTGTTTCTCCCTTTCTCTGAAATCATTAAAAACATTTAAAAATACATGTTACTGATTTCAGAGAGGGGAGATAGAGAAACATCAATGATGAGAAAGAATCATCAATCAGCTGCCTCCTGCACGCCCCACACGGGATCAGACCCACAACCCAGACCTATGCCCTGACCGGGAATCGAACCATGATCTCCTGACTCATAGGTTGATGCTCAACCACTGAGCCAAGCCAGCCGGACAATAACATTGTTTAAAGGTGCATCTGTTTTCCAGTAGAAACGGTATGTCTCAGTTCAAGTGCCTTGAGTGCAGGGGAAGGGCGAGCACTGAATTGATAAGAGGGCTGTGGGCCAACTGCTAGAAAAGGATTGATTGAATTTGGGAGCTGAATAAAAAAATGGGAGTGGTCTGGCATTGGCCAGTGTTGCCCGTTTGGGCATAGTGCTACACCAAAAAGCTGCCAGTTCGATTCCATCTCGGGGCACATGCCTGGGTTGCAGGCTTGATCCCCTGTATAGGGCGTGTAGCAGACAACAGATCAATGGTTCACTCTGATTCTGAAAGTCAAAAAATATATATATATTTTTTAAAAAGGATGGGAATAGCCCTGCCTAGTTTTGTTCAGTGGGTAGAGCATCAGCCCTTGGTCTGAAGAGTCACAGGTTTGATTCCTGGTCAAGAGCACATACCTCGGTTGCAGGTTCAATCCCTGGCCCCAGTTGGTTGCGGCGCCAGCGGGAGGCAACCAATGGATGTGTTTCTAACGTTTCCTCTCTTTCTCCCTCTGCCCCCTCCCTTCCACTCTAAAAATCAATGGAAAAAATATCCTCACTCCTCTGGTGAGGATTTTAAAAAAAGATGGGAATGGTCTGTTGGGAGCCAGTCCTTAGCAGCAGGAAGAAGTTTTACAGGCAATTAGGGGTCAGTATAAAGTTTCATGTCGCCAAAGCGTGCTGTCACAGTTGGGGTGTGGTGAGAGCGCACATAACTGGTGTGCTCTGCTCGGACCAGCCCTCCACAGAAAGTGCAGGCGAGCGAGAGGCCTGGGGGAGGTGGGGTGGAGCTGAGCAGAGGCACGCACAGGAGGCTGAGAAGAGACCAGAGTGCCGCCAAGCATTCCTTTTGGAAATAGAAGACCTAGAAGAAGACAGGTCTTGCCTGGCTGGTTTGGCTCAGTGGATAGAGTGTCTGGCCTGCGGACGGAAGGGTCCCAGGTTTGATTCTGGTGAAGGGCACATGCCTGGGTTGCAGGCCTGATCCCCAGTAGGGGGAGTGCAGGAGGCAGCTGATCCATGAATCTCATCATTGATGTTTCTATCTCCCTCTCCCTTTCTCTCTGAAGTCAATAAAAATATATTAAAAGTCTGAATAAAAGTTATTTAAACAAAGAAAACAAGTCTTTTCTTTGGGACCTTTTCCTCCACTGTGAAGCGTGACACTGTGGAGGACCAGTGTGGTAATGCCATCTTGGGGACTGGGCAGAGCAGGGCTTGGGTGTCAGAGGCCTGGATGGACTTGGCATTTGGCCCAGCACTGAGCTCTGATTCCGGGGCTAGGCCTGCTGTGGGTCAGAAGGTCCTTAGGAAGAGCTCGCCTTCCCGTGAACCAGGCTCCCTGTAGCATCCTGCCGGTGTCCAGGCCTCTGACCTTCCTTGGTCAGACAGAATACCCAGTTCCGCCTCCCTGCCCCCCAGCCCACCGGCCTGCAGCCCAGGAGGCCCAGGCAGCCTTTGAAATGGCGCAAGGCCCTGGGCTCCCTTTGCTTAAAGAAGAAAGCAGAATCCAGTCAGCTTCCACAATGCAAGGCTCAGAGAAGTAAAGCACCCAGCCTGAGGACACACAGCAAATCCGCGCCGGGGTCAGTCCCTGCGCAGGGAATTGGGGGCAGTCAAAGCCTCCGGAGAAAGATGAATGGTGTGAAGTCTCCGGGGTGCAGGGGCTTCTGTTTTACAGGTGAAGTCATAGCTGTGAATCCGGGACCACTAAGTCCTTGTCCAGTGGGTGGCCCAGGTGGGAGGGGTGAGTGGGAGAAGGCCTCCAATCACCTGGCAGCTGCATCACAGGAAGACCTAATACCATCGGCCAATATTATGGGGAGTGGGGTGGGTGGGTAGTATGCTTCAGTTTCTCCTACCCCTATGGGCCCACAGGACTACAGTTCCCAGGGGCCCCTGCTCCAGGCTGTTGGCCCCCAGGCAAATTGGCCTGTAATCTGACCATTCTCGAAAGGTCATTTCAGAGCTCCTTGAGAGACAGCAACAGGGGGAGATCAGCTGGGGTGGGGGTGGGGGTGGGATGGGGATAGTGGCCCTGCCTGGGTGACATCCCCCACAACACCCCCTGAAACTCGGGGTCCTCCGCTCCCTTTTCTTGAGACACCAGTGTCCCCTGCTAGCTGCACCTCTTCTGTTTGGGGCACACGGACTCCCAACGCCTGGCCCTTCGGCCGGAGGCGGGGAAGGGGGCCTGTCCCCTTTTGCCACAGGGTGTGGCCTTCCCACCAGAGTGCAGATAACAGTGGCCCCCCAGTGTGGCCACTGTGGAAGCTTGACCAGAGGTCATTCAGCCTGTGGCTTGCAGTCTCTTTGGGTAAATGTCTAAAGCAGACCAGGCTGGCCCTAACTGGTTTGGCTCATTGGATTAGAGCATCAGCCTGCGGACTGAAGGGTCCTGGGTTCAATTCCAGTCAAGGGCATTTAAAATAATAATAATATAAATAAATAAATAAATAAATAAATAAATAAATAAAGCAAAGCATGCTGCTCATGAAGGCTGGGCCTCCTGACATGTGCCCACTTGACAGCCCCTCAGACTCCTGATTGACAGCCCACAGCCCAGCCCCACCCTTCATCCATAACCAGGAAAAGGACCAGATCCAGGCAACCTCTTAACCCAAGGTCACAGCCCCGGGGCTCCAGGCAAACCTCGGGCCTCTCAAGCCAGCACTCGCCTGCTGCATCTTGTTTCTGATCCTGCGGCAGGCAAGACAGAGACCCCAGTGTGCGAGGCCTGGAGGAAGTGGGTCAGCACAGGGCAGTGAATGAGCCGGGCTGAGCCTGGCCTGGCCTGGCCCCTTATGGAGCTGGGCCTGTTCTCCCTGCCGGCTCTCTTCTCCTCCCCTCACCCCCAAAATAGCTCCTGAGCTGTCAGGCCAAGACCCTCCCATCCTGGGGGGAGGCGGGGCATGCTGCCCAGAGCCTGGCTTTAAATCAGCAGGCTCCTGGGGATTTCCACTCCCTGGCTGGAGGCACCACTGAGGCCGCCTGTCCACCGATCCGCCAGTCGGTTAGGCCCACCCTCCCGCAGCCATGTCCCGGCCCCTGACAGACCAGGAGAAGAGAAAGCAAATCAGTGTGCGCGGCCTGGCCGGCGTGGAGAACGTGACCGACCTGAAAAAGAACTTCAACCGGCACCTGCACTTCACACTCGTCAAGGACCGGAATGTGGCCACCCCCCGGGACTACTACTTCGCGCTGGCCCACACTGTCCGCGACCACCTCGTGGGCCGCTGGATCCGCACGCAGCAGCACTACTATGAGAAGGACCCCAAGGTGCTGCTTGGGGCACCCCGGGCAGGGGCATGGGCTGGGGGCCCTGCCGGGTGCTGGGAGATCTTGACCAAGTGGCAGCCCCTTCCTGGGGCCCCTTTTCTGTAGCAGTTTCCTGAGGCGGGAGGATGCAGGGGTCCTAGGTGCAGGGGGTGCTGGGCAACCCAAGGGGAGAAACGCAGCAGAAGCAGGTCAGGGGGTTCAAGTCAGGTGGGCCGATTGCAAAGGCCCAGCACCCACTCCGAGTGGAGGGACTACTGGGGGTGGGGAACAGGAAGACCCCCCGAGGCCTGGGTTGGACCTGAAAGAACGGGTCATTGAACGTGTGTGTGTGTGTGTGTGTGTGTGTGTGTGTGTGTGTGTGGTGTGTGTGCTGGGTAGCAGGTGGTGACAGCTGGGGTAGTTGGGGCAATGGGATCAAGTGTCTTTTGGGGTCAGTGGGAAATGTCAGCAACCTGATGCTTCTGGAAAGGGGTGGGGGAGGGGCAGATGGGTGGGGCAGAGAGGGGTCCCAGGAGACCAGGCACCATCCTGGATCCTGGGGCCTCTGGGTCCCTTGCGAGGACTGAGGCTTGAGGGCCAGGGGAGCTGAGCACTGCAAGGCCATGAGTCACTGTGTGACCTTGAGCAAAGGACTTGCGCTGGCCTTGGGCTTCCCCCTGTCAGGAGCTCTTGGAAGTATTTCTCTGTGTCCCGACTCCCTGCTGGGCTGCTGGGAGGCTTGTGTGGATGGAAGGGGTTCGCATCTCTCCCGAGCACCTGGATAGCCGAGGGCAATATGGCCAGCCCCCTTTTCCCGATGAGGAAACAGGTTCAGAGATGTGCCCAGAGTCAGAGGGAATGCTGGGATCAGAACCTCACCTGTTGGGCCTCAAAGCCTGAAATGGGAAGAAGGAAAATGGAGACAGGGCTGGGACACGCTGGGACCTAGGAGCGGGGCAGGAGGGGTGAGAGGTGTAGGCCCGCGGGGCCTACCTGAATGTTGGTTGGCAGCCCTGACCGCCTCCCCCCGTGCGTCTGTGTCTCGGGCAGAGGATCTACTACCTGTCTCTGGAGTTCTACATGGGCCGGACACTGCAAAACACCATGGTGAACCTGGCCTTGGAGAACGCCTGCGATGAGGCTGTTTACCAGGTCTGGGAAGGTTGGGGGTGGGGCCAACCTAGGGTTTGGGGGATGCCCCTGCGGGCCCTTGGCCCTGACTGCTGCCACACCTTGCCCCCTCTAGCTGGGCCTGGACATGGAGGAGCTGGAGGAAATCGAGGAAGACGCAGGGCTGGGCAACGGGGGCTTGGGCCGGCTGGCAGGTAAGCGGAGGGTCGCAGGGGGCGGGCGGGCACAGGATGTTTTGTGCCGGGTCCCTGACACTCACCTCCCTGCACCCCCCTAGCCTGCTTTCTGGACTCTATGGCAACACTGGGCCTGGCTGCCTATGGTTATGGGATCCGCTATGAGTTTGGGATTTTTAACCAGAAGATCTGCGGGGGCTGGCAGGTGAGCAGCCTTTGGCCTTGACTTTGTGGGGACCAAGTAGTGACGGAGGGGACCCCCAATGGGTCATCCATCTCTGGATAGACCAGAACTGAACCCAGTCTTGATGAAAAACACCCTTGTTCCTCTGCCATGACCCCAAAGCAGCTGGTCAGTCCTGAAGCAGGTGGTTCTCACCTGTGGTACCTCTTAAACTCTCAGGCGCATGCAGACCAGAGCCCACCCCAGAGCCCTTAACTTACACCCCGTCTGGGCCACACTAGGGCCACTGCTCCTGCATCTCCCTCCCACTGACCACCATGGGGTGAGTCTGGTCTGACGCCGCCTCCCTTTCTCCCCTGATCTGCCTTGGGCTCAGATGGAGGAGGCTGATGACTGGCTTCGCTATGGCAACCCCTGGGAGAAGGCCCGACCGGAGTTCACGCTGCCCGTGCACTTCTATGGCCGAGTGGAACACACCAGCCAGGGGGTCAAGTGGGTGGACACACAGGTGAAGACAAAGCCGGGGGATGGGGGAGGACTCGGCAAGGGAGAAGGGGAGGAGGAGGCTCCTAGGGGACAGAGGGGAAGGACCTGGAGGCTACAGGACCAGTGCTATTTTACAATGGAGGACACCAAGGCTCAGAGAGGTTAAGTGACTTAATCGTGGCCACACAGCCGGAGCCAGGAGAGGCTGGAGACAGGAGGGTCACCAGGGAGCCAGGCCCGGAGCAGAGCCAGGGAGGAGGAGTGAGGCTGCCCTGTTCCACCAGTGCCCCTCCCTGGCTTGCTCCTTCTCACCCACTACATCCATCAGAGAATAATCATGGTGACTTGACGTCCCCACACATCTGAACTGGGGGCTTGACCGGGAGCAAAGCAACAGGCCAGAGAGGGGAGGAGGGGAGACAACGAAAGCCTTGAGAGGGGGATTGACTAGTTCAAGGTCAATAGCAAGTTGAAGGAAGCCCTGAAGCCAAACCAGTGTCTGAGCTCCAGCTCAGTCAGGCCTCTTGCTGTGGCCGCAGGGCCTCGGCCCCCAGCTGGCTGCACAGGGACCTCTAGGCCTTCAGACGCGGGCATGCGTTCTGCGGCTGTCCACACTGAGGAGCAGCAGGGGCTGGGGTGCACCGGCTGTCTGCTGCTGGGCCTGCCCTTCCTCAGAGCTACAGCTCCCACCCGGCTCCCAGCCGGCTCCTTAGTGTTGGGAGGGAGGAGTGGCTGTGCCCCCAGCCCCACGGTGGTAGGCAGTTATTGGCAGAAATCACTGACCGGGAATCGAACCCAGCACCCTTTGGTGTACAGGACAATGCTCCTCCTGACTGCGCCACACTGGCCAGGGCCAGTCATTGGTGCTTGCTAACTGTGGGAGGCGGGGCCAGCAGCAGTCACTGTGGTCAACCAGGCATCAGCTCCTTGGATGGCCTTGACGTCGACTCCTCCAGCCAGGCCCTGGGATCCCCCAGCCCTTTCATGCGTCCGGAGTGTCCTCGAGGTTGTGCTCAGGCCGGGCGGGCCAGCTCGTCGTCATCACTGCAGTGGCCACCAGCAGAGCCCCACCTTGGGCGCTGGGCTCTCCCTGCCTCTTCCTCCCATAATCCTTACAACACCCGGCCAGGCGGGGCCGGGGGTATAGGGGACGCTGGGGGTGTCCTCTCTTTACGAATGAGGCCCAGAGAGCCACGTTGAGGGCTGGCTGGAGGTTGCCCACCGTTGGGACTAGACTCTGGGGTTGGGAGTCAGTGCAGTGCAGGGACAAAGCCTGGAGTCCCAGCTCTCGGGGCCTCATGGTGAGACACAGCGGCCGCCCCGCTCCTCATCCCCGCTGTGCGCGCAGGTGGTGTTGGCCATGCCTTACGACACGCCCGTGCCTGGCTACCGCAACAACGTCGTCAACACCATGCGCCTGTGGTCTGCCAAGGCCCCCAATGACTTCAACCTCAAGGACTGTGAGTTCAGCCGCTGGTGAGCAGCCCCCGCCCCCTCCAACCCCTGCTTGGCCCGAGCCTGACCCTGTCCCCGCTTTTGTCCTCCAGTCAACATTGGTGGCTACATCCAGGCTGTTCTGGACCGCAACCTGGCTGAGAACATCTCTCGTGTCCTGTACCCCAACGACAATGTATGTCTCCCCCTGGGCTGGGCAGGAGAGGGGAGGGCCTTCCTCTGGGGCCCTTGTCACATCCAGGACATATTGCTGGCTGTGTCCTGTTTGTCACTCCCCCCCGCCCCCAGTTAAGTGGGAGGATGCCTGAGTCCTGGGGCAGCGGTTAGGGTGGGCACTGCCCCCATGACTACTTCTTGGTGGGGAAGACCCGGGTCCTGGAGATGGGGCAGGTCAGGACTCAGGGACCGGGTGTCTGTGGGGTCTCTCCTGACCACACCCACAGTCGTGGGAGGCCTCCCTCAGCACCTTGACTCCCCTCTGCCTTCCACCGTCCCCAGTTCTTCGAGGGGAAGGAGCTGCGGCTGAAGCAGGAGTACTTTGTAGTGGCTGCTACGCTCCAGGACATCATCCGCCGCTTCAAGTCCTCCAAGTTCGGCTGCCGTGACCCCGTGCGCACCAGCTTCGATGCTTTCCCGGATAAGGTACCGGCGCAGGAGGCCGCCCTCTCCCCTCCCGCCTCAGCCTGCCCCATTGTATGAGGGGAACGGAGGCTGGTGGCTGGGGGTGTGTGTGAGGGCGACGTGCTCTGGGTGCTCGGTCCATAGGCACGTGATCTGGGCTTCGCGCTGCTCCTGCCCCACAGCTGCTCCCCGAGAGCCTCACCCAGCTCAGCCCTAGCCTGGCGCCCTACTGGGGACTCTGACGGGCCAAAGGTTTGGAGCCCAGCCTGACTCCCTGCCCGCCCCCTTCCAACAGGTGGCCATCCAGCTCAATGACACCCACCCCTCCCTGGCCATCCCCGAGCTGATGCGGATTCTGGTGGACCTGGAGCGGCTGGACTGGGACAAGGTGGGTTGCAGGACCCTTCTGCCCCCGCCTGACCCTCTCTGCCTCAGGGTCCCCTTTCCAGTCTGGGGGGTGGAAAGATGTGAGTGAACAGAGGGCAGTGTGAGGCCCGGAGGGTGGGTGTCCTGGGACCCGGCACCGCAGTGGCAGGGCCGGGCTCGTGGCTGCACACAGTATGTGTGGAGAGCCCGAGGGCTGAGGCCCGGGGATCCTGGGTCTTCACTCCTCTGCCAGGCATGGGAGGTGACGGTGAAGACCTGCGCCTACACCAACCACACGGTCCTGCCCGAGGCCCTGGAGCGCTGGCCGGTGCACCTCTTGGAGACGCTGCTGCCCCGGCATCTCCAGATCATCTATGAGATCAACCAACGCTTCCTGAATGTGAGCGGAGGAGGTGTGGGCAGCGCGGGGCCTGGGACTCAGATGGGGGAGCTCTGGGCATAGCTCTGAGGGTAGGGGCTGGGGCTGGGCTCCCGCATCTGGTCCTAGCTCTGGGCTCTCCTGGCACAGCGGGTGGCAGCCGCGTTCCCAGGGGATGTAGACCGGCTGCGGCGCATGTCCCTTGTGGAGGAGGGCGCGGTGAAGCGCATCAACATGGCCCACCTGTGCATCACCGGGTCTCACGCCGTCAATGGTGTGGCTCGCATCCACTCCGAGATCCTCAAGAAGACCATGTGAGACCCGACCCTCCGCTGGGCCCGCCCACTTATAGGCCCGCCCGCTCATAGACACGCCCACTCATAGACATGCCCACTCATAGGCCCGCCCACTTATAGACATGCCCACTTATAGGCCCGCCCGCTCATAGACACGCCCACTCATAGACATGCCCACTCATAGGCCCGCCCACTTATAGACATGCCCACTTATAGGCCCGCCCGCTCATAGACACGCCCACTCATAGACACGCCCACTCATAGGCCCGCCCCTCATTGCGCAGCACAGCTGGCCCTTCCATGGGTAGCATCGCTCTAACAAGCTCCCACAGCCCTGACGTCGGGTGCAGTCCTGTCCCCAGGTGGCCCTCTCTTGCACACAGCAGCACCTCAAACCCCCAGGCCTTTTTCATCAAGAAACCAGGATAGGGGCCCAGAAGGAGGCCTTCATCCCACAGGGTGAGTGGTGACCGCCCCCACACACCCCCAACACACACTCCATTCTGCAGCTTCAAGGACTTCTATGAGCTGGAGCCTCATAAGTTCCAGAACAAGACCAATGGCATCACCCCTCGGCGCTGGCTGGTTATGTGTAACCCTGGACTGGCAGAGGTCATTGCTGAGGTGAGAGGTCGCTGGATGGCCAGTAAGGGTCAGCACGGGCTCCTGCAGGGGTCAGCGGGGTGTGGCCATGTGGGTGGGTGACTGTGGGGTGTCCCGTGCGGGGCCGAAAGCCTTGCTGCATTTGGTTCCCCAAGCCTTGCATGCACAGGGAGGAGAGGAACTGCTTTCTTACTTGCATGAGGAAGTCCCAAGGGCCGGGGAGGCCCTGGCTGTGAAGGTCACCTGGAGTTTACAATCTACTGGAAGGGTCATCAGTGGGTGACATCTGAAGGGGACAGAGATTGGGGGCAGGAACGCGAGTCATGGCCTGGATGAGGAACAGGTCAGGGGGAGGCCTGCTGGGTCAGCTCAGGGTCGGGAGGGGAGGAAGATGGACAGTGACAGACCGCTGGGAAGCTGGAGAGGGAGGAGCTGTCTGCCGTGGATGGGGCTTGTCTGACCTGGAAAGGGAACCCCCTGTAAGGAGGACGGGGAGGGGAATGAGCCTGACCAAGAGCCATCTTCCCGCAGCGCATCGGGGAGGATTACATCTCGGATCTGGACCAGCTGCGCAAACTGCTCTCCTATGTGGACGACGAAACCTTTATCCGGGATGTGGCCAAAGTGAAGCAGGTGGGGAGCATTGCAGCCTGGGCCGCCCACTTATAGGCCTGCCCACTTTAGGCCAGGCCCACGTGCCAGGCTGGGAGCAGAGATCCTTCCGTGCTGGAGGGCCAGCCGTCCAAGTCAGGAAGGGCCAATGGTCAGCTCTCCTGCAACCGCAGGCCACTGGTAGAAGTTGCATGAAGTCCATGGTAGGAAAGCATCTGCGGCCCTCACTGGAAGAGTGCTGGCATTGATTAGCAATGTCTGCCCTGGTGCAGGCGTGCATGAGGTGGCCCTCTGTCCTCCACCTCCTGGGAAAGAAATGAGACTGTCGGACCTCCCAAGGCTGAGGCCCCTCGGTGAGCTCCCCTCTCCCCTGCCTCCAGGAAAACAAGCTGAAGTTCTCTGCATATCTCGAGAACGAATACAAAGTCCGGATCAACCCCAACTCACTCTTCGATGTCCAGGTGAAGCGGATTCATGAATACAAACGCCAGCTCCTCAACTGCCTCCACATCATCACCCTTTACAACCGTGAGCTGCAGGGCCCCGCTCTGTCTCCGGGCTCTCCCGCCAGTACAGCGGTTCTCAACCTGTGGGTCGCGACCCCTTTGGCGGTCGAACGACCCTTTCACAGCTCGAACGACCCTAAGACCATCCTGCATTTCAGATATTTACATTACGATTCATAACAGTAGCAACATGACAGTTATGAAGTAGCAATGAAAATAATTTTATGGTTGGGGGTCACCACAACATGAGGAACTGTATTTAAAGGGCCAGAAGGTTGAGAACCACTGCTCCAGTACCTCCCAGCATACTGCATGCTTCCTAGACAACATCTCCTTTGGCTTTGGGATAGCTCTTGGGACATGGAATTATCCCCAGTTTACAAATGGGCAAACTGAGGCTCAGAGAGGGGGAAGGGACCGATCTGAGGTCACACAGCAAGTGATTGCTCAAGTCAAGGCCTACGTTCTCCCAGCGTGGGCCTTGGCTGATGGGTGCTGTCAGGAGCTACTACCCAGAGGGGAAACCGGCCCACTTCACCCCTCTTTCTCCACAGGCATCAAGAAGGAACCCAATAAGTTTGTTGTGCCTCGAACGGTGATGATTGGAGGGAAGGTGAGAAGCTGGGCCGCAGACCATGGCTCTGGTCTTTTGATTTCTGGGTTGAGGTCAGCCTTGGCTGTGTTGCAGGATGGGGGTAGGGGGTTCGGCCATGGAGCTGACTCCAGACTGCGCCCCCACAGGCTGCCCCTGGGTACCACATGGCCAAGATGATCATCAAACTCATCACGTCCATTGGGGATGTGGTCAACCATGACCCGGTGGTGGGAGACAGGCTCCGCGTGATCTTTCTGGAGAACTACAGAGTCTCGCTGGCCGAGAAAGGTGGGGTGCCACTGCCGGGAAACCTAGGGAGGCTCTGATTAGTTTGGTGCCTGGAAGAGGTATTAGTTACTCTTCCTGAGGTACTTGCACTTTAAAGAATCTGGAGAGGGCAGTAATTAAACCATGAGGATGTCCCCTGGGCTCCCTGGCAGCACGGGTCAAATTATAGGGGAGATGGGCCTTGTTGGTGCTTGTCACGTCACACAATGGAGCGGGGCCGGGGGGAGTCCAGGTTAGATCCCAGATGTTCAAGAATCATCCAGAGGTTGGCGCCTGAGAAGGAGACTCAGTTGTTGAAGACTGCAGGGCTGGGGTGGGAGGGGCTTTGAACCTGGCTATGCGTAGGCCAGCCTCTCTCGAGAGTCCCCAGCGGGGGTGGGACTCTTCCCAGAGCTGACCCTGTCCTGCTGCTGCCCCACAGTGATCCCGGCCGCTGACCTCTCTGAGCAGATCTCCACGGCGGGCACTGAGGCCTCCGGCACTGGCAACATGAAGTTCATGCTCAATGGGGCTCTGACCATTGGCACTATGGATGGGGCCAACGTGGAGATGGCGGAAGAGGCAGGAGAGGAGAACTTCTTTATCTTCGGCATGCGGGAGGAGGACGTGGAAAAGCTTGACCAGAGAGGGTATGGGGGTCAAGAGCTCCTTAAGAGTCTGTGGGCAGGAGGCACCAGGCGTGGTGGCTGGAGGGTAGGGCTGGGAGCAAGAGGCATGGACAGGCTAGTGCAGGCTGCACAAGGTCGTAGTTATGCCATCAGAGTTCTGGAAAACTGTTGAGGTAACTTACCAAAGAAAAGGTTAATGAAACAGGAAAAGAAAGAAGTAACACAGAACTGAAGGAAAAGGAAGAGAAAATTATATCAATCCTAAGAGAGAATATTATTTCTGATATTGGAAGTAAACTAAATTCTTAGTTCCCTGGTAGCCATGGCAAAAAGGGAAATATATAATAAAAGCGTAATATGCTAATTAGACTCGATGACCTTCCAGATGAAGCTGGGGCTGCGAGGGAAGCCTGGGCCCCGGGTGCCAGAGGGAAGCCGGTGCCGGCAGCCAGGGGAAGGAAGGCCTACTCTTGCACGAATTTCATGCATCGGGCCTCTAGTAAGAATATAAAAGTTAACTGTACTTATGGCCAGAAACACAGTTCTTTAGAGGAGACATTTCCCTGGCATTATGTTTTTAAAATTTTTTTATTTTTATTTTTATTTTTTTAAAATTCCTTTCAGTCCGCAGGCCGACGTTCTATCCACTGAGCCAAACCAGTTAGGGCTAAAATTTATTTTAAGATATGACTTTTTTCTTATAAAAGCAATAATGGAAAAATACAAAACCACACAAAAAAAAAACCAAAATAACTGTCATCTATAATTTCATCACCTAGATTTAAAGTCACACTTCTCTTTTTCTATGTATATTTATATATGTGTGTGTGTGTGTTTTTCTTTTCTTTTTCTTTCTTTTGTTTGTGTCATTTTTGAAAGTTAGGAATAACTTATATGTCATTTTGAATCCTGATGCCTTATTTAACAGTGCGGAGGCATTTTCCATGTCATGAAATAGTCTTCAAAAATATTTTAAGTGATTGTGTAGTGTTCCATCCTATGGACACGTCATAACTTATTTAACCACTCCATACAGTTAGACATTAAAGGTGATATTCCCTGTTGGTATAAATACCACTGTAATGACCAGCCTTTTACATCTCTGGCCACATCGCCCACCCTTTCCTTAAGAGAATGACTAGAAGGGGATATGTCTGAGCCAAATTGTTTTCCAGAAAGTTGGTACCAGTTTACACCCTCACCAACAGCCTCGGAGAGCTAGCACTAAGTATTGAAAGGAATTTCCCTGGGAAGCCTGATCCTTCAGCTTCAGACTTAGTCCTTTGGCCGGGAGGGAGACGTGTTGTGTTTCTAGCAATATGTGCAGAACTAGGCTCCAGAAGGACAATTTTGGCTGCAGGATGGAGACTGGATGGGAGGGAGCAAAGTGCAGGTGGGGGCCGTGTGGGGACTCACGCCTTAATGCTGGGAGAGTCACGGGCAGCACCAGTGCTGGGGACAGGGGGTAGGGACGCTGTTGAGGAGGTGGCCTTCGTTTCTGGTTGGAAGAGGGGAGGGGAGGGAAGAGAGGAGCCTGGCCTTGGGGATGCGTTGGAATCCTGGTGGTTGAGAGATGGATTGTGCTGCCTCCGAAAGGCGAACGCTGGAGGCTCCTCCAGGGCCCGAAGGTAAGGCGAGGGTTGGACTTGAGAGAGCAGAGGGGAAGACATTCCTGGGGGAAACGCTGGCTGGAGATGCTGGTGGTATGTGACACTTCGGTCTGCCCTCCCCAGGCCTCGGTTTCCTCATCCCCATAAAAGGTGATGAAAAGCTGAGCACAGAAGGGAGAGGGCCTCCGGGGAAGGAATCAGTGGCAGCTGCAGGGAGGGTGGGAGCAGGCAGCCCCGGGCCTTAGGGCTTCTGGGATTTTCTCTGGAGGGAGAGCCAGGCCCCCCTCTCCTGGGCGCTGACTGCGGCTCTTCCCTGCAGGTACCACGCCCAGGAGTACTATGACCGGATCCCTGAGCTGCGCCAGGTCATCGAGCAGCTGAGCAGTGGCTTCTTCTCCCCCAAGCAGCCCGACCTGTTCAAGGACATTGTCAACATGCTCATGCACCATGACCGGTGAGCCCGGCGCCCAGGGGGCCTCGCAGGGGGCGCTGCTGGGCTGGGCAGGGCTCCTGGCAGGTGGGCGGCTCCCTGGGAGGCAGCATCACTCTCCAGCCCCCAGGAGTCCACCAGGACAGGGTGGGCTCGCCTTGACCTCAGGGAGCTTCCTGCCGGCCATTCCCCTCCAGGTTTAAAGTCTTTGCGGACTTTGAAGACTATATTAAGTGCCAGGAGAAAGTCAGCGCCCTGTACAAGGTAAGGGGTCCTGGGCCAGGGGCTGGCAGGGCTTTGGCGGCCCTGGCTGGGGTGAACGGAAGGTGGGGACCCCACCAGCAGAGTGAACCCAGAGCTCCCTTTCGGCCTGTAGAACCCGAGAGAGTGGACACGGATGGTGATCCGGAACATAGCCACCTCCGGCAAGTTCTCCAGCGACCGCACCATTGCCCAGTACGCCCGGGAGATCTGGGGCGTGGAGCCTTCCCGCCAGCCCCTGCCGGCCCCTGATGATCTGGTCTGAGCCTCCGGACCAGACCCCAAACCTGCTTTCCCCGACCCCCACCCCCACCCCCACCTCAGCCTGTTTGCAACCCCTTGGGCCAGCCCCAGCCCCTCCCGCAGAGGGTGGGGAACTGGAGTTAGTTCTCTCAGCCTCTTCCTGAAACTCTCACTGACTCCCAGGCCGAGGTCACACCGTCCATTGTGACCGAGGACACTGCTCCCATCCTGCCTTCGGGCTTCCTGCCCCTCCTATTTATGGGTCTGACCAACCGTACACCCTCCTTCCCCCCAATAAATTGATTCTCCTTGGGAGCCTCCTTCACTTGTCTCTCTGGTGGGAAATATTTTTAGCTCTGGGTGGGCACGGCAGCAGCTGCGCAGTCACCGTGGCTTCCCCCACCCGC